TTTTTTTTTTTTTTCCCCCAGTATATTGTATTTTGAACAGTATTTTTTCATTGTTCAAGATTTGGCTCTTCTGTAGAGCCATCGAGATGGTTCCTTGCCCTAAGCACATCCTTACATTCTTACATACTAAAATTGCCTTTTGTGTTCTATCAGCTCCAGCCCCAGAACCAGCTTTTTTTTTTTTCTTTTTCCCCCAAGGAGCTCTGATTACTTTTAGTAGAGGATAATACTTAACACACTGCTGTTAAACTGTTGTTTGCTAGCAGTGCCTTTCATGCAGAAAGCTAGGAAAGAAGTGTACGTGTATGCATGCCTACATAAACAATACATAAAAATGCCATTTGATACATGTGTATTTCATATGACTGTACATTCATATGACTTTCCATTCCATTCTAGCGTTTCAGGGTTCTTTCTACCCTTTTTCCTTTCTTCCATGCTTATAAGTGATACCTAATGAGCTTTAATTCATTACTTGACCATTGAATTTTTAAGAGTGAAGCCACTCTTAAAAATAATAGATCATCTTTTCTGTGTACCACATTTTTCTGTATCACTAGTGTCCTGTATCGCTAGTGTCGTGTATTTTTTGTACCTTCACTGTAGCTACCATGCAGCACATCCCTCTTATTCTTACTCTCCATGGCAGGCCACTCCCAACTCCTCCACTCAAGGAAAAGAATGGAAGTGCCCTGTTGCCTTGTAATAACCTTAGTGCAATTTTTTTGTTGTTTTTCTCCAACAAGGAGATCAGCAGAATCCAGCTCCTGCCGGACAGGTTGATTATACCAAGGCATGGGAAGAGTACTATAAGAAAATGGGTATGTTCTACATTTTTTAATGCAGCATCAAGCTATCACTACAGATAATTCTTAACATTTGTGGTTCTATAACAAGGAAAACATTTGATTTTTGAATGCATTTGTCAGGCAGTTACTATTTAAAAGTAAAAGTTTCCCCACTAGCACATATTAACATATATTACCTACATTTTTTCCAAAGGCAATTATGTGTTGTAGTTCCCTAAATATCAAAACTTTAAAATGTCAAGCAAAAATCGACTGGATGTGGCACTACTTTACTGTACAGTATAAGAAAGAAGTAGGTTTACAGTGACAGAAGTTAATTATAATTAATTAATGAGAATATTAATGATACTTGCATATATGGTGATAGGGAAACAAGCATCTAGAAAGGCTATTTTTCAGTGACTATAGAGCCTACATGCCAGAGCATAGTGATAAATAATGCTAAAAGTGCAACTGTAGGTATAACAACAAAGAACCCTGTCTTTCTGGTTAATGTATACTAATGGAGACTCAGGTACTTTGCAAATATATTACTACAAACTACTGTGAGTCAAAAGAGCTTATCTTCATTGACATTTCACGTGTACATATTGGAGAATAGATCACACATATACTAAGTGGTAGAACCACAATTGAAAGCATGCCCCTTTCCCAAATTTAATTTTTTAGGGGACTGTTTGGTACCTGATGTTGTTTTTCTGGTCAGTAGTTTTATTTTACCAGATGCTTATGCTCTTAGACATTTAAAATAGTTACTGTTTTAAAACAGTTAATATAGCCCATTGTCATAAATGAAAGCTAAACTGATATACTCGGCCCATCCCTCACTGGTAGAGAGTATCTATAAATAATAGGATTTTGTGCTAAGATAAAGTCTGCTTGTTATGCTAAGTGTAACTTTCAAGATGTTTTCTCATTTCCCACTGAAAGACAAATATCTAGAAAGCCTGATCATACTAATTTTGTTTGGTGAAAAGATGCAGAGGATGATTTAAAGATAGTTTTAGGCAGACATTCCAAGAAAGTTACAGTGCATGTCATTTTTGAGTCTATAGTTTGTGCTGTACACGGGTCTTTAAAATTATGCAATAATGAAAATAGTTTTTTTTCTTTAACCTTAAAATAGTGTATTCTCCTTAGGGTAATCATAATATGTCCAAACTGGGTTACTTTGGAGTATAGTTGGAAATGATATTAAAATCATGTTGGTAAAAAGTAGTGATCATCCTAACTTAAAAGTGGCATCCCCAAATGATAGGTTTAAAATCAAATCAAGGTTAAATCATTATGTTTAACTTGTATTTTTCATAAATACAAGAAAATGGTTACTATACTAGAGGTGTTCCCTGCATTACTAAAAGTGAGTTAAAAACAAAGGCCTGGTAATGAACTTAGGGTAACTATTAGCCTTTGGATTTTATTATGTTCTTTGTTCTTTGCAGCATAGCCACTAAATAAGTTTACTGATTAACTTTTTGATCTTGTTTGCCCTTAATGAGTAGGTGTTGAATGTAATCTGTGAAGTCTTAGTGCTTTCCCCTTTTTCTTCTCTTTTCCCTGCCATCTACTCTATAAAATTTTAATTTTAGAGGTAGTACCCTACTTTGTCTTATTCTTTGTGGAAGATGTTTGACTGACTGGAATGCACATTAAATACTGTAAGATAGACTGAACCCTATCATTTGTGGTACCTTCAAGCAAAAGGGGGGGCCCTAAAGTGGTTGTGGAAAAAATGCAGGTGTTTGCGGACAGAAAATAAGAATGAAAATCTGCTAAGACTGACTGACTTTTGTACTGTAATAGAATAATACATTTGAACTCTGGAGTAAGTCATTATTCAATGAAATGAAAGTAAAACCATTTATCAATGCTACATGAATATTAAGTAATGTTCCAAAGTATATATTAGCATCAAAATAGATTGAATAGGAAGAGTTCTTTCCTATTTTCAGTTGGATAAAATGTATCCCATTGACCCTTCAAATTGATTCCTTCAAGTCTGGAATGTGAAGTGTTGGGAGTTTATTTACCAAGTGTTTTTCCTTAAAGGCTAATGTGTTTACTTTTAGCTTTTCAGAGATAATTTGAGTTCAAGGAAGGGGAGGGGAGGGGGAGAAAGGAACATTTGACATTTGTTCTTAATACATTTCCTTGTTTCTACCACAAGTTGCTGTTATTTGGCCTCTAAAATTAGTTAACTCTTACAGTAAGATTTAGTTACTTTCGTAAGCAGTAGGTTTTTGTGTATTTTTTTTTTTAATTATTGGCTGAAAGATTTGTTAATTTATTTATGCATAGAAGAATTGGGTATAGGCCAGAGGTGCAGGGGGTGAGAGGATTCACCAGAGACAAATGTAGGAAGCAGAACAGGCAGATCTACTGAAATACACCACTGTGGAGAACAACAGCGAAACAGGAGAGGTCTATTGTGGGTGTGGGTTGCTCCTTAACTGGGAACTGAACTGTGCTTCAGTGGTTGCAAGACAGCCTCACAGTGCTATGACTTAGCCTGTTGTGACACCAGGGAGGGCCCTGTCCTTAAACCATTTTTAAAGCAAGTTGCAGGTAGTTTAATTATTTCCGTAAGGTAAATATACAAACCATTATTTAAATTGCCATTCTTTGTCATATGTTTTTTGTAGCTGTGTGTGTTTTGTTTTTAAATTGATTTTACTTCAAAGCCACTTAAGACTCCATAAAATTATTACATCTCTTATAGTCTCTTAATTTGGTAAAATCACCCTTCATGAAATCTTGTTGAGTTTTGTGTTTCATTAATCTTGTAACTTGGAACCTCTTCATTAATTGTGCTTCATTTTATTTTAAATAAAATCTTGTAATTTGAACATACATTACACCTCATTGAAAAGAGGTGTCGTGAAGGTTACTTTCGTACAAATAGTTTATAGGTTACTAAAACTGGAAAAATCTCAGTCAGATCTTAAAAGTCTTACATACCTTTTTAATAAATCTTGTTTCTCAGATAAGTTTTATTTTCTCCGTTAGACATTTGCATTTTATGTAAAACCTACAGTATAACTAACATCCAAATGGATGCAAGAACCAGAAAAATTACCTCCCTTACTCCTTCCCCATCACCACATTTGATGTACTTTCCAAACTCAGTTTAGAATATTAAAGTTTACAAATTCTGCAATCAGATCAAGATTATGTCTAAATAAAACAGGAACAATTCTGACCCCTCTATGCTTTTGTCTTTATAACCTGTACTTACAGTGGATAAAATTTTGTATTAAAATTTAGGGGGTTTTTTTTAGGTCAACAAGGGCAGACACAAGATTATTCAAAGGCTTGGGAGGAATATTACAAGAAGCAAGGTATTGTTTTTATTGGAAATGAGATTCTTTTGGGCTTTTAATTGTGGTTTACAGCAACAGAGTTGTTTTGTTTTGTTTTGTTTTTCCAAAGGTCAAGCAGTTCCTGCTCCTGCTGGGGCTCCACCAGGTGGTCAGCCAGATTATAGTGCAGCCTGGGCTGAGTACTACAGACAACAAGCTGCCTACTATGCCCAGACGAGTCCCCAAGGAATGCCACAGCACCCTCCAGCTCCTCAGGTATAATAAATTTACTAATGCGTTGATTTCTACTCCAGTCATGTTTTCTGCATGTTTACTGTTTTGTCTGTTTGGGATTACGTTTGCCTTTTGAACTTTTATCTGGCACAGTATATAACTAGATGAAGTACTGTGGTGTGTTTGGGTTTTTTTTGTTTGTTTTTTATAATGCTTTCTGGCATCTGAGTGCTGAATATTTCTACAATGCCTTTGATTTTAAAAATAAATTTTCTTCCCCCAGGGATTTGCAAATCATGCAAGAAGCCACCACCATTTATATTAACCAGTTTTTCTTTCTTAAAGGATTCACTCCTGAGTTAGCTCCATTTAAAGGATTTTCTTTAACTTTTTGTGTATTTCTTATGTATCTCTTCTGCACAGGGCCAATAATAAGAAGTGGACAATACAGTATTTGCTTCATTGTGTGGGGGAAAAAAACCTTTGTTAAATATATGGATGCAGACGACTTGATGAAGATCTTAATTTTGTTTTTGGTTAAAATAGTGTTTTTTTTTTTTTTTGAAAATGTACAAAATATCTATCACTACTGATAGGAGGTTAATATTTCTGTGTAGAAATGAAAAATTGGTTTGTTTTTAGTATTTAGTGTAGATGTACACATTCCAGCAAATGTATTTGCAACTATTATGTGGTCAATGCTTTGTGATATAAATGTACTTTTTCAATGTATACTTTCACTTTTAAAATGCCTGTTTTGTGCTTTACAATAAATGATATGAAACCTCCTGTGTCGGTAAGTTGGATATGTGGGTATTTAAAGAATTCATAATTTCGTAGCAATGATAAATTAAGATACATATACACAAATATCTAAGCTTTCCCCATGAAATATTAATTGAGTTTTTAAACACTGGCATGTTTTTTCCCCCTTGCAGTATAGTAATAGATTGGAGGATCTTTTCTGTTTATTGTATTTGGCTGTTTCAGCACAAGTAATCCTGATATCTTCATTTTTTTTCCTTCTGTTTGATTAAAAACTGCATGTGTGTACAATGATCTTTTGGCATACTTCCATTGCATTAACAGTGAAATTTCCTTTTATACATGACCACTGTTTCAGACCTGTACTGCTGCTATAACAGTTAACCTTTCTGTTCTTAATTTGATAATTACTTGATTTCCAAATGATTTCAGCATAACTAATTTTAAACAATTTTTGATAGTGAATATGAGTAGTCTAATAAGAAAAGTTTTTCCATGTAAAGCAGCTCTTGCAATGTATACAATATTAGTGTGTTTCTTTCTAAATTTAGGGTAGAAAAGTGAATAGTATGCAAAAAGTATAGCTACAGTGCATCTGCCATTGAACCATTGGGGTATGGAAACGTTCAAGCTTTTTTCTTTTCCTTTTTGCAGTATAGATAAGCTTTGTTTCGTAAATGCACAAGTCCAATCATTGAATCAACTTAATTTTTTTATGTACTTGAAATCATTTTATTACTCTATAACACTCATGTTGAAGTTCTGATATTTTGTTGAAATCCATTGTTTTACTCTTTGCATATTTGTTGGCTCTTTGCATATTAATATATTAGACTACATGCAAATACAGTCTGTCTTGCCATTGTCTGTTGAAGTGCAGGTTTGATCCAGCCAGTATAGAACTAGCTCTGTAGGGGTGAGGAGGACTGTGCTGTGTATCATCCTTGATTGTGTTCCTTCAAGGAGCATTGCACTGTAAGTACATCAGAATGACAAATTGATGAACTGCAACAGTATCTTTTTGTCAATGTTCCACATAATGTAAATGCCATACTTTGTGTGAATATTATGTTGGAATACAGTGCTGATATCTTGGAAAACCATAACTGCTTCTTAATTTAATGCAGAATAATACATAGGTCTGTATTTTTTTTTTAAGTGAGCTTAATGGGTAAGTATTTTTTGATATGCTTTAGCTGTAGCTAAAGAAAACTGATCATTAACAAAGTTGACTAGTACTCTTCATTTGGTGCTCCTGAAATAAATTGTTTTTCAGTGTAAAATATGCATATCTTATATATTAATATGAAAGATTTGAAATGTATCAGACGTAAGTGATTTTCAGTTTGCAAATATTAAGCCTTTTAGCAATTTAACACCATTTCATAAATATATATTCTTTCTTTTGTGAGGAGCACCATTTGTTGTTTTGAATATACTATGAAGGAAGATGTACCAGGACATAAATGTTGCGATTACAGGGTAGAAAATAGTAGTACATTTCATTGTAGTATTTTGAAATGTTTTTGATTGTTTTATTTAGAGTGACTTCCCTTACCCTTATTTAGATACGGATTATAGTTCTAGGTTGAAATTTAATAGTTATAGTTAAGGAGTTATCTGTTATATTTAAGAGTGTAGGGTATTGACATGAGCAATTTCAGTATTTTGCATGATACTGTTTATAGATGACCTTTTAGGAAAGTGGTGCATTTTATTGATTAAACTGAAGAAATAGCTCAGTTGGATTCAATATCATAACTCACAAATTGGAGGCTGTTGATTTTGATTCATTTAAGGTTTAAAATCTTTATTAATTGCAAACAGTGCAATTATTTATACTTCACAGTGCCTTCCCAGACCTTCCACCTTAGGTTCTGCTGCAAAAAGCAACAGGTAAGCACAACCTAAGGACATATATAAATAAATATTTCAGTACATTAATGTTGTCCCTGTGAGGTTTTGTGGTTGTGTATTCAAAAGCAATCTGCTACTGCTTCCCCAAAATGTACTTTGTTATTTATGCTACCATTTCAGTGGAAAGTCTGTAAGTTGTTCAAGCAACCGTTTACATTTCTGGGTAATGTTTTTTATTTTAATTTTTTTAATTAAAACAAGAAAAAGAAATGAGTAGATTGCTGCTATAATTGAAATACATTCAAACTTTTTGTAATATTTCCCAAATATGGAAGAATTGTTAAATAAGAAAAGACATTTTCATAAGTTTTTGAGATTTAGAGGCTCACTTGGTGAGAAACTTCAACAGCCTTCACAATCTGTTTATGATTGATAGGACATTTTCTTTGCCCTTCAAAGCTCTGAAGTCTTATTCTTGAACTTAGTAATTCAGTAAGGACATTTTGAGTCAGTTTATTGTGACTTTTTTTTAGCCAGTTGAATTTTCTTGACTTTTATAATACACTGAAAAAGAAAAGAAATCAGGAGTAATGGCAGTGTGTTTTGATAAAAGGCATGTGCATCAGTGAAATGTTAACTGTATAGCAAATGACTTTCATAATCTGTTTAGCAACCAGTATTTTTCTGACTTATAATACTTTAATAACTGACGCTGCATTTTATTTTTGCCAGTTTAAAATGTTTGTGTGTTTTTATAGATGATTTTAACTGGTACATATTTTAAGTTGGATGTATTAAAGCAGCATCTTATCAGTTTTGTTTATTCAGTTTCTAAAATGTGCTGATCCTTTTAAAACTCCTGCTTATCTCTACAACAAAGAAAAAGATTCAAAAATACTGCCTTCATTTTCACACACAGTGCTGAAGATGCTGCAAGCACCAAAATCATAGCTCATAAAATCAGGTCCTGAGATAGTTACCCATAAAGAGGAATCCTTTGAGTGTATGCCATTGGTGAGCCGATGAGCATGGACCATAGAAGGGCTCAATGTAGAAGGTAAAATTGGCAAATCATAACTGAGAAATATGAAATGTATTCCCATACATAATATGATATAGGGTGTAATGTACCTGCTTTTGATCACTTTTTATTTTAAAGTGTTACTCACTTGATCTTAAATGTTCCATGAACTGTTAAATTTCATAAGTTATGTAGTTAAAGCACCACATCTCTGTGTGTATCTGTGTTTTAATAGTCGATAGGTATGTTAAGATTGAAGATATAAAGGGGCTCTTTGACCCTTAGGAACCTGTCACGTTTTGGTTAGTTGTAGTTTGCATTTTTTTATATAAAAGAAAATTTAAATGAATGCTAATAGATAATGGGGCATTGTTTCTGTCTCATAGAATTTTTTTCATTACCATAAGCCTTCACTGATACTGCAAGCATTTTTTAAATGGCGCTATCTTAACCTTGAAATAAATGGAAAGCAGAAAAGGTGAGCCAGGTGATTTGAATGCAGTGGATATTAGGTGTGGTAGAAACAATGTTTAGTTTAGATTGAAATTATTTTGTTAGTGCTTTAAAAACTTGACAATGTGTTGCTGTTTGTTTTTTTTTTAATCTTAGTGTGATACCTAGATTTCTTACGGTTTCTTGTTTGTTTTAGAAATTTGAAGTATACTTTTTGATTAATGAAAATGGTTTTGATACTAAAACTAGTGATTTAATTCTAGTTCTTCATAAACATTGTAAAATATATCCTTATCCAAATATCTTGGTAGTTAATTCATAAGGGTGGGTTTGAGTAGGAGTAGCAGAGTAAATTAAGAGGGAAAAAGGAATATATTCAGACATTTCATTTGTATGAGTACTCTGCCAGAAGAACCAGTTCTACTTGCAAAATTAACTGTCTAGAATAAGGATGTACAAATTATCAATGAGGATGTCTTTTATTTTCTGAAAATTCTGCCTCATTTTAATATGTATTTTAACAATACCTAGTTAAAGATAATTTTAATTTTTTTTTTTTTTTTTTTTTTTTTTTTTTTTTAGTAACTTGAGTTTTCTTGCCACAGTATAAACTTCTGAGGGATTTTTAATTGGTACTTTTAAGAAGCAAGTAAATCCCAGGGTTTTATTTTCTTCAGTGATACCCTTTAGAAACTCTTAAATGTATTTGCGCATATATTTTTTCTTATGCATGCTCAATGCATTTTCGTCCTGAGAAAAGTATTCTCTACAGAAACTACCCGTGTGTAAAAAGAAGATTGACTTAAAATGGCTACTGTGATGGGAACAGTGTCTTAGGGAGATGCAGCTTGGACTTGAGGTAAATTGAATACTTTACAAACTGTGGTTAAGAGTTTGCTTTAATGACGTTGTATGTAAAAGGGTACATGGTTACTGTAATTTTGTACTGATTATGGTTTCCTCAATAAAAAAAATAAATGTACATTGATGAATATTACAAGGACCTGTTTTGTCTCTTCTAAAATACTGAAAGACTTTAATACACAAGTTACTTTATTATGGGTTTACAGTGTAAACTTTGTCTTCCAGAAAATTAAAATACAAAACAACTTGATAATAGAACATAGTGGCTAGTAATTTACAAACTCATTTTAAAGATCCATTTATATTGACACTTGTGTTGTTTTTCCCTAAATCTTACCACTTATATCAGGAAATCTTTATGCTAGGACTGTTTACTGCTGCTTGAACTATTAGTACAAAGTTTTCTCATTAAAATATAATTTGTTCAGCCAAGATCGCAACATAAATTTACTTAATAAAATAGTGCATACACTTAAAAAGTATTGACACTCAGAACTCTGTATAGGCAATGGTTTTCAGCAAGTTTTCTCTAACAAATGTTTAAAATTAATTTTTGTCTTCCTTTGCCATAAAAGGAATGGAAACCCTCCTTCATACATCTGCTTCAGAAAGAAACTGAACAAAAACCAAAATAATGAGAAAGGACCCAAATTGATAGGTTCCAAATTCATTAGTCTTCGTTATTTCAGGCTAACCATAGATATGTAAATAGCTCACACATAGCATTTCATGCAGTTGATCAATGTGTTATCTATGGCTTTTTTTTTTTTTAACATGGTTGCTCTAAATTTAGGGAAATATACAACCTTGTAACACTTATGAGGGAATAAATGACCGAGTGAATTTCCCACTTTACCTGTTAAAACACATTAACTTCTGCATAAATACAGTGATAAATCTGTATTCTCAATTGGAAAGCAAGAAGATAACTCTTTAGACAACCTTGTGTTTTTGAAGATTATTATGAAAAGGAATAAGTCAACATAGTGGCACATCTGTCTTCCTTTTTTTGGCCCCGCCATGGGAAAGATGGATGCAGTAAGAAAGTTGGAGAGAAAAAGAAGAAAGTTCCAGGGAGAGGGAAGAAGGGGAGCCTAGTAGTCGTCAGCTAAAAAAGAGAAGAAGAAAAGTGATTTTTTTTTTAAAGGAAAATAATAGAATATTTTAAATAGAATAAAAAGGCCTAGATTAACAGTGATTAATTCTTACTTTCAATGGTAAGAATACAAGTACTAGCCGCAGAACCTTTATTGTTCACTGCTTTACACATATACTCTCCTTCATCTTCTGGGAAAGTTTCTGGTAAATAAAGGCAGTAAGTGTCTCCTCTTTCAATATATTGATAGTCTTCTCCATCCTGCAATATTTCTCCTTCAAACCACCATGTGACTTCTGGTTTGGGTTCTCCTGTTACTTTAACAGTAAATCTAACAGGCTCACTGTCAACAACTGATAAGTTTTTTAAAGGCTTCTTGAACCATGGAGCTCCAGACCTGGTTTGCTCTTCATCATCAGTGGTTGAGCCATTCATGATACTAGCCACTTCCTCTTCCTCCTCTTCTCTTTTCTACATTAAAATATATGCATTCCAGTTAATGCTTATTCACACTACAGTAACATTGTCATGAGAGTGGTTTAATAGTTATTTAGTAAAGTTTTCAAGGTATACTTAGTACAAACTTAATGAAACATTCCAGTGACTTGAAAGTATTAAAATGAGCTTCATCCTTCCTCATATAAAACCTGGTTTTGGGCCCTCCCTGGTGGTGCACCAAGTTAAAGTGTAGCATTAATCTGCCTGTTCTGATACCCACTCTTCCTTGGTGAATCTTCTCACCCCCTGCACCTCTGGCCTGTATCCCTCCCCCCCAGTTCTTGTATGCATAAATAAGTAAATCCTTTAAAAAAAACATCTTGTGGTTTTTAAGAGATTATTTTTGGCAAACAAAGCTATGTAAGCTTGATACCTTCTGTAGTGCTGCATCAATTTCCTTTTGTTCAAACTGCATTCGTAGTAACTTTTGTTCTTCTATTCTTCTTTGTTCTTCTTCTTCTCTTGCCTTAGCCATTTGTTCAAATCTAGCTTTCATATTCACTTTATGAGTAAATGGAGCCTCACTTTTTTTTGCAGGCTTGATATCAACATCATCTTCCTGTAAGAAAGTGAGCCAAGAAAAAAATGGCTTTTTTAAAACCAGTAGAAACAAAAGCATTGGTTGTAGAGTTACATATATTTCTGAGCTTAAGTGTATTTACCCAACAAACACATTGTTTGTTGATAGTGCTGAATAACGAATAACAGGGTAGGTGCACTGTTGAAATAATACCTTCCCAGAAGTCCTTTTTTTTTTTTTTTTTTTCCCAACTTCTGCACAATAATAACATTTCTGTGGAATTTTACTGCATGTAAAATTTTTATCTTTAACACCTTTGCATTTCAAGGATCCTGAGCAAATGAACTTTCTTTTTTTTTTTTTTTTTGCTCCCCTCACAAGTCCCATATTCTTTAACCTACCAGGTAATACAGAAAATTATTCAATTCGTTATTTCCGCCTTAATGATTTTCTTCTTCGCCCTACTAATAACTTGAATGAATCCCATCCATAAATAGATGGCCAAATGGCAGAGAAGACAGGAGGCAGAAAAATGAGTGACAGTTTTGGAAGATGAAAAATGCATTGCTTGAGTTAGTAACTGAGGAGTAATGCTCATTGAAAATAAGTGAAAATGTGACATCACAGATAATTAAAAATAAGAGTAATATAAAGGAGTGTTAAGTGTATAATACCAATCTGGTGACAGCTTTTGAGAGCAGTTTTAGTAAAGTGGGGTCATGTGGGTACAGTTAATGGTTTCTAAAGTAGTAAATGCTGACCCATGTTTTTCTCTGGGCTTTTGGGTGCACTGGGAATACCACCATTGTGTTTCACATTACTATGAGAAAATATAGGCTACCATATACCTTGGTGAACATTTCCTGACTACAATTACTGCTAATGAAAGTTATCGATATGATTGTTAGAAGATAGACTGAAGAAACACATATTGAACAATGTTTCATGGCAGTTTTATCTCTAGGCTTTTCTAGGACTTTAAATAAAACTTTATACTATATAGTTTATTTTTTGTTAACTAGATCTTCAATATAGTGCATCTCAGGTACAATTACTGCTCTTACTGAATCCCTCTCAGTTAATAAACTTGCCTTCCTGATTTTAGAATACAAGCTTGTACAAATTTTTAACTTATTCACTTAGCCAACTTACTTACATTAAGACAACATTTAAAAATCATAAAAAATTCCTCATGAACTGAAAGAAACTATGAATTATTTTCAGTTAGTAACTGTTCAGTTGCTGTCTTTTCTTGAACCCTGGAAAAGAGGTTTAAAATGTTTACTGGAAATGAGAGTACTAAAAGGGAAATAGTAAGTTGAATGATTTTTATTTTCCAGGTACATTCTTACTAAGACATAGCTATTTGTCCCCTCACCCCCAACATAGATACTAAAGGCGACACAGGCAGTTAATCTGAGATAAAAGGGAAGCAACAATGGGTGGTTTTACAGTATGCCTTATCAGGAAATTAATTAGAAAGGCAAACACTAAGGTAATTAAATGAAGTACCACATGAGTGGTATAGGAGCTGGATGGAATTCTTTGGTTAGGGAAGGTTACATGAATGAGGTCTTAAAAGATGCATAAAACGTTAAGTCATTGAATGTTGACATTTTATAATTAGGGAACTGATCAGATGAAAGAGGTGGGTCCTACTCTGCCAAAGTCATGCTAGCACAAGTTTTTAAAGGACATATTAAGGAGCTTTAATCTGAACAGGCATGATAGAGTTGTCAACATTCATAGAAAGTTCTATCCAGGAAGTCTTCATGGGTTCTGGAAGTCAACTATGCCCTAGTCTCAAATCCATTTATACAAAAGAGCCAGTAATAGCAATAAAACAAGAAGTACCTACCTCATTTATTTTATCTTACCTACATATTTTGTTGTGATAGGTATGACTGCTCTGAGGTTTCACTACCTTTAATAAAAAGGAAGCAAGTGCATGCTGATTGAACTTTACCTTCTATGATACATTTCTCTCGAATCAACTGATCTTGTCACCTATCCATCACATGTTGGTGTTCTCCAGCCATTTATTTATTCACCTGCATTATTTTTAGTTCTTCCAAGATGGCTTTCAAATACTATTCATGTAAGCTATCACCTGAGTGCTTGTTTTTGACGCCCTTTACCTTTCCACATACAGTCCAAACTTGGTTTTATTCATCACCCACCCACACAGCCCACCTGCATTCTCCATAGCATCACCTAATTTAGTTTCTTCCATAATTGAAGTAATGTTAGACTACTTGACAGCGACCTTTCCACAAGCAATCTGTTACTCAATTTTGTTTAAATTAGGTCCATTTTTCTCCCTTAACCCGAACTTCATGTCTTCTGCCTATCTCCCAGTCATCCTCCATTATTCCAGAATTCTTTTATGAACACACTTTTTCCCCCAAAGGTTTGATTTTTTTTTAACATTTTCCCAGACCATAGTCCCTGCAAGGCTAAAAATTCCCTTCAGTAACTATAACCTAGTTTTACAACTTTTTATCCTATCACTCATTCAGTGAACCTTGCAGCTTCTTTTAACTACCTGTGTGTTGACATTGCTCCATGTAGAATGAATGCATCCTCTCAAATTCTTCACCTTCAGTTTAAATATTATTTTCTCTGCCCTTGTAAGCCAATACAAGGAATATTTATTTCATCATCCTTGATTTCATAACATTAAGTATATAAATTATTTTAGCCCATGTAGCAGTTACAATTCTCTTTGTACAGTGCCTTGGGCTGAACTTCCTGAGGCCATACTCATTTTATGTTCTGAAAACTTAACAGTGGGCCTAACACAGGAGTCATTAAAAAGGCAATGGTGTTTGCTTTCAGCAGTGATAAAAATGGTTTATTTCCAACTAGACAAAGCCTTATGTCTTAGTGAATCTCGTGAATTTCAAGTATGTATCAGTTTAATGAAGATCTGGGTGCTCCATAATATCTCCAACTGTCTAAACCAGCTTGTGATCACTTTAACAAGCTTCCATTACTTTATAGTCACGAATTCACAGTCATTTTATTCCTCTCCCTCTCTTCACCCTGCCATCATCTCCAGGTCTTACATATTTGTTTCCTATACATTTGTCCTTTTCATTCCAGCTGTACTTTAAATTCTCATCAGATCCTCTTCACCCTCCACAAATAGTACAACATACTCTTAACCCCGTTTTGGTAGTTTTCATTTACTACCCAGTAATGGTTTTCCATCTCCCCTACTCTGATTATATATTGCAGATTTATTCACCAATGGTGTGGTCCCAGAAAAAACCATTCAAATAATTGTTTGGTGATGAATCTAAAACTGTCTTTACCACACAATTGTCTGATAAAGGATAGACTTTCAATGTTGAATGTATTTACACAAGTTGATTTTTAAATTATTTCATCTGAAACAATGTTAGTGGTTTAACTTCAATGTTAAAATACAGTTATTGCTCTCATCAAAAATTAATAAGGGGCTCTTCCTGGTGGCGCAACAGGTTAAAGCACTGCATTAAGAAGTTCTCCAAAGTCACTGCAGCACGAGTTCAATCCCCGGCCAGGGAGCTGACCCACATGGAGTGGCAGACCTCTCCAGACCCGCCCACTACTCCCCTCAGCAGTGTTCTTTGTCAGTCTGCCTGTTCTGTTCCCCACTGTCTCTGGTGAATCCTCTCACCCACCACATCTCTAGCCTGTATCCCAGTTCTGTAAGCATAAATAATAAATCTTTTTTAAAAATTAATAAACATGTTTAGCTTCAGCATGATATAGCTATAAAGATGCCTACTTGGTAACATCACTCCATGTATTAAAAATCCCTTCAACCCACTCCTTTTAAAACAGCTCATTAATATGACATCTACTAACAGTTAACATGGTTATGTCAGCTGTGATCCCATCTTCATCTCTTACTGTTCTTACACTCTGCTTGTCTCCAATATATGAGAATTTGGACATCTTCAGTTTACTCAGTCTCCTCTGAAAGCCCTCACAACTTCACACACGTGTTTCTGTTTTGCTAATCAAATATTTCATGAAAATGCACTTTCAAGAGAATAATTTAAATGCTGTGAAGTATTACAAAGTGGTAATATGGCAGGAAAAAAAAAAACCCTAACCCTTTTAAACCGATATTCATAATCATGAAACTAGTCCTTAGACTGGCAGGGGCAGCAGTGGTCACCTAAGGATTGTCTTCCTATTTTACAAATGGTGGTTCTTTAAATATATGGTATCTGAATTCTCATTTAGACTCTGCCACTGAACTATTGATGTGACTTTGAGCCAACTATAGAGGCTTTATGGACCTCATTTAAAGTTAGAAAGTAATATGAATAATCTTTGGAATTTATCTTCTATTTCAAACTAAAACTTGTGCTAGTAAAATTGAACTATTTTTGATATTCACTATAGGCTGTTTACTGATAAAAATCCCTTGAGTGTTATTAAAAATATAAAACTCATGTTTCTTTTTCTTCAAAAAATAATATTTTGAAACAGGGGAAGTCTTTCAAAGTCTCATAAGATTTTAATGTGATTTTTGTTACTTAGTTGTCCAGCTATTATATATATATATTAATTGTGAGTTCCAAAACTTATTTTATAGTCAATGATATTTTCTGTTAAGTTTGTTATCATTACTGTAACATAACAATGCTAAATATAAAATAGTATACCTCATGAAAGTTTTCTGCTTCTCGCTCTTTAATTTCAAGATCAATTGCTCTCCTCCGTGCTCGTTCTTCTTCTATCTTTCTCTGGATTTCTTTTTCAGACAATTGACCAATTTTTTCAAACTTGCTCCTTAGGTTTTTCGCTTGAATGGACCCACTCCTTTTCAGTTTGATTAATTCTTCATATTCCCTGCTCAGCTCAAAGGTTTCATTTTCTTCTTCTTCCTTAAAAAAAAAAAAAAAATTCATATACTCATTTCCACTTAATTAATTTGTACAATAAGCTATTCAAACACTGTCTACCATTTTCTTACTGAAAGCCAAAAATAAAACTTAAACAACCCCCATAAATACAATACCAAAATTTACTAATTAAAAAGTGCTATTAACTTCAGAGTTTAGATAACATCTTGTTCCTTTTAAAATATTTCATTACAGAGTGTGGCTCAAACCTCATTTAACATTGCCATTACAACTTACTACCACTAAAATATGCATGTGAAGATTAGTTTTTATTAGAAATTAAAAGATCGTTGTTTAGGAGAAGGTGAAATGAATATGGTTAAGAGTCAAATATAAGTTCTGTTTTTGACATTGTTATCACCTGCCTACTTAAAATCCACTAGAATGGTTTTTTCATCTCTGAATAGAGCCAGAATCTCTAAAATTCCTCATCTTTGATTTCATAATAAATACTACTCAGTGCTCAAGCTAACTGAATTCAACATTTCTATGGATGCAGTGTGGTAAAATCCCTACATTTCAGTATATATCACCTGTGTCCTCAATTTTGTGTTCTGCCAAGAAAGACAGGAAAGAAGACAAGATTGAGGTCCAGTTTTTTAACCATTATCTTGAATACTTTTTATTCAGGTTGCTTTTCAACTTTTCACAGTGTATTACAGTCTTTGTGTACTTCTTACACTGATCTCACTAGATGAATTGGTAAAAATCTTAATATTTGTTTATAGAAGACCTAAAGCTCTAGGCACAGTTTAAAAAACAAAAAAAAAAGGAGGAGGTGGCAGAGGGGAGAATCACAGGTGATGATATGACATCAGATTAATTTCTTGGTTCTGCCAAAGGAAAACATTCCTTTATCTAATTACACTTTGTGGTCCATATGGGTGGAAACAGGCAATGTCTAACATGCCAGAAACTAACACATTTATGATATACATTATAATGATTACTAAGTCACTCTGATTAAAATTAATGACTGAGTTAATTAACTACAGACTAGGTAATCTTGGAATTGCTTGAAACTCCCAGATGTAGTATAGGGTAAGGTCACTTAGAAACATGAGAATGTCTGCTGCTACATACTGCCATGCAATAGTTAGATTACACCTCAATAGTATACTAAAATATAGTCTAACTAAAATAGTATACTAAACTATAATTAAATATATTCTAGACAATCTTCAGTTTCCTTTGTAAAATATATGCTATTGCTTTTTTTTAAATTAAGACTACACCTTGAAGTATTTTCCTACAGCATATTTTTATATTTTTCTATGTTATTATTACCTATATATTTATACAGCATTTTCAGCCTCTCATTGGCTAGGACAAAGAAGTAAATCTCACAGGCTCCCCTCCTGTTTCAATCCAAGATAGTTTCAAGAGCCTACAATCACTGTGTAGGCCCACTTGGTTCCTACATCAGAAGTTGCAAAACATGCCATGCCACTGCCAGTCCAAGGGACAGTCACTGTCCATCTCACCTCAAGTCAAGGCTGGTCTGCAACCAGTGATATTGCTGCATACGGCACAGCTAAAGGACAAAGGAAATGGTGGAATTTCTCTCTCCATATTTCTTCCCCTTTTTCATACACACTGGCAGAGGAGGGTGGCAGAATCCAGGACTGGGAAAGAAAAGGGGTTTGGGGCTTCAGGAACTGGGAAGAGGGCTACAGGAACCTATTCTGGGAAGGCAGCAAGGCAGCAGAAGGTATGTTTGAGCTAAAATTCTAATACCCTAGCAAAAAGTCTGTTGCTCAATCAGCTTTTTTATAACAAAGTAATAAGACAAAATTATTAAAAACTTTAAAATGGGGCCCTCCCTGGTGGTGCAGCGGGTAAAAGCACTGCACTACCAAACTAAAGCCACTTTCGCTTGATTTCGAGTCCCGCCTGCTCCGGAGGTAATCACATGGCGTGGCAGACCTCTCCTGACCCGCCCGCTGCTCCCCTCAACAGTGTACTTCGTCGATCTTCCTGTTCTGCTCCCCACTCTGTCTCTGGTGAAGCCTCTCACCGCCCCTGAGCCTCTGGCCGGTACCCCAGTTCTATATGCACAAATCTTTTTAAAAAAAAATTTCAAAATGGCAATTTCGTAGCATTAATAAGTGTGGACTTTCTGAGCATGAGGTCTTATCAGAGTATGATATACAGGGTCTAGTATTTTTTGATGGGGGTAGAGTGAAGGGAAGAATCAGTGTCTAGGCCAGAGGCACTGGGGTGAAAGACCATCAGAGATGGTGAAGAACAGGAAAGACAAATTTATTGAAATACACTAAGAGAAACAGCAGGTGAGACAAGAGAGTGCTCCTGTGCTAGTATTGAAGTGAATGCAGATACAAATATATATATATATATAATGCAGTATGACATATAATGACCCTTTACATGTAATTATGTGTAATTATGTAATTACATATTAGGTACAATATCTAATCATTTAAATACTATAGAAATCACATTAAAATATTTAACAGCAGACCCTCCCAGGTGGCACAATGGGTTAAAGTGTAGCAATATGAAGCTAGCCACAACTGTTTCAGCACCTCAACCAGGGAGGTGACCCACATGGCACAACAGACTTCTCCTGACCCATCCACTGCTCCCCTCAACAATGTACTTCCTCAACCTGCCTGTTCTGCTCCCCACTCTGTCTCTGGTAAATACTTTTACCTCCTCTACACATCTGACCTGTAACCTGTATGCATAAATAAATATTTTTAAAAAATATTTAACAGCATCAAAGTTTTATCTTAGAATAATTTAGCACAATAAAATGATCCAAATACTTGCAAAATTAAATTCTATTAGTATTCATTATATACCTGTAGTGTATCTTATTTTGATTAAATTTGTCATTTTGATTCTGTTTGATTCAAGGTACATAAGTATTATAGTTGGGTATATTAAATACTCTAACAATAATTCTCAGTCATGATGTAATCGTACACAATTGTGAGTTATAAGGGAAGAAACACTTCAGGTGTAATATCTCAGTCACATGCAGTTTTATTTACTTTTTTAAAAATGATTTGTTTATGCATATAAGAACTGGGGTACAGGGCTCTCCCTGGTGGCACAATGGGTTAAAGCATCACACTATGAAGCTCTCAGAAGCCACAGCACCATAAGTTCGATCCCTGGCCAGGGAGATGACCCACATGGCGTGGCAGACCTCTCCTGGCCCGCCCACTGCTCCCCTCAGCAGTGTATTTCACTAGATCTGTCTATTCTGTTCCCCACTCTTTTCTGGTGAATCCTCTCACCCACCATACCTCTGGCCTGCACCCCAGTTCTGTAAGCATAAATAAATATATTTTTTAAAAAAAGAACTGGGGTACAGGCCAGAGTTGCAGGGGCTGAGAGGAACCAACAGAGACAGGGTGGGGAACAGAACAGGCAGACTGACAAAAATACACAGCTGAGGGGAGCAGCAGGTGGTTCAGAAGAGGTCTGCCACACCATGTGGGTCACCTCCCTGGCTGGGGCTCAAACTCATGCTGCAGTGACTGCCAATAGCTTCATAGTGCTGTGTTTTAACCCCTTGCATTACCAGGGAGGGCCCTTATTTACTTTTAAACTAACAAGAAATGAGTAACATTATAGCAAGCTAACAAGTATATATAGCTGTGATGAAACTTGTACCAGGGTTCCCCTCATAGGAGTATGTTGAGTGCCCTAATGCAATAATACTTAGAAAGTTACTACAAGGTAATATGTGTAAAATACTGAAATTTAATATTTGTTAAATATAAATGTATATTTCTTAAAATCCTACCTCTCCCATTTCTTGTCTTAGTTGTTCAAATTCCTGTTTTTCCATCTCTAGTTTTTGCTTCCTTTCCTCCTCTGTTCGTCGTTTTTCTTCTTCCATTTTTTGTTTTAATAATTCTTCAAAATTAATTTCCAGTTTTCCCGGTGTAAGAGATTCTTGAGAAATCGTTTTATACATCTCTGGAGTGTCATCATCGACTACCTATTTAAAATAATTCTGTTACTATGCTTGCCAAAATTAGACATACTAAAAAGGGAGTATTTCTTGTACAAATTGTGATTACTTGATTAAAAGATTTTACACTGAATTAAACACATGAGACTTAAATTTTCTTCTAAAAACTCATAAAGCAATAAAGAAGGAATTAGAAAATGTAAGATTAAGGTGTTAATTACAAAGCAAATGGTCACCATCTATTCTCCATTCCAATGAACATAAAGAAATATTTTATAGTGTAAGTAATCTGAATTAGATGTGAAGATTTTCTAATATTGAAGGATACTTTTTAACTATTAAAATGAATCATCATTCTGATCATTAAATTGTGGTTTTGTTTGAATGAATTAGAAAATCCACCATGATCCTTTCATGATCAGCAAATATTATCACTCTTAATGTGATGATTTTACTTTATTGATTTATTTACTGTCATGCCAATTAAAAGTTATAGCACTAATTTAGAGCTGTCAGGACAATTTTAAACACATCACATGTAGTAATTCATTTAATCTTGTAACCCTATGTAGTAGATAACATTAATCTCCCCATTTTATAACTCAGGAAACTGAGCACTGAAAAGAAACTTGTCCAAAGACAACATAAGTACTGAGTGACAAAGCTGGGATTCAAAATGTTGCAAGTCTTCCTAACAGAATTACAAATAGAGATACAGACAACCTGTTTATAATTTCATGAGTTACACAAATGATTGCCTTGAGCACATTACCTAACCTGTCTCAGTATGAGTTTATCTGGGACAACCTTCATAGAGTTCTCATGAGAGATAAATAAAATGTGGGACTATCTCACAGTGTTCCTTATGTCATGGTAAGCTCCCAAAAAAGTAGTTGCATTATTTCATTGTCATTCCTTTTATATAGGTAATCTCTAAATTTCAAATAGGAACTCTGCTTTAAAATCATTGACCTGGGATGCATTTCACCATGAAAAACAATTATTTATATCTGTTTTTCTATTCCCTGCAGATATATACATAAATCTGTGCTTAAATTGACACCTATGACTAAAATACATGTATTTCAGAATATGTATATTCTAAGAGAACAACGGTAATTATTTGAGCTAAATTTTAGATATGACAACTTTACCACAGAGCCAGTTCAACTCAAACAAGATTTGTTTTTAAAAAATCATAATATATGAGTTAATTAAGCATTATATGTGAAATTATGATTCTTGGTCCTGGCTGAGAGTACAACATAAATGAGGGGGAGAGGGAGGGAGAGGATTCACTGTTTTTTCATGATACAGAAAGGTCTCCAGCAATTCAGAGTTTTGTTGTGATGTAGTTCTCGACACTTTTTCCACTAGTGAATCATGGTAAATGCATAGATAGAACACTTCTCTGGAACCTGGGTGATCAGCAAAAGACTTCCCAGAAGAAATAGAATGCATAAATAGGAATAGCACAGCTTAAGGACAGAATGGAAATGTCTCACACAATATTTATCAAAGTCCAGAGAATAGCTCATAGCTTTTTGAAGAATTTCCTATGTCTAGAACAAAATGGTAGAAAGAATCAAGAAATGAAACTGAAGAAGCATGGTAGGGCAAAATTATAAAGAAATTTATCTTTAAATTTTTTTGATTTTTGCTTAAGGGAAATAGCAAAATCACATTTACTCTTTTTTTTTTCTTCTTCTTTGACTTCTTTAAGAAAGATCACTCCTGGTTTACAGGGAAGAATGGGCTATAAACAAAAAGCAAGTTAATCACAAGTTGGCCCAAGATGAGGGCCTAAATTATAGTAATGGCTCTGGGAAATGGGGGAAACTGATAGGTTTTGAGTGATTTAAAAAGATAAATACATGAGACAAAGAATGACAGGGTATGAATGGGCATGAGTGAGAAGGTGAAAGTATTCTGGCTCCCAGGTTTCTGATTTGTGCATCTGAGTGGGTAATGAAGCCAAACACTTGGCTGTGTTCATGCAGCCATAGAAAGAAAACCAGGTCACAAAAGCACTGCGGTCAAGTGAAATATTTCAAGAAACATATAACTCCAGCTTGGAGGAAAGCAAAGTTTGTCACATACCTCTACATTTTACATGGTATGGACAATTAAACTGTACCTGTTGTACCAAAATGGTGTAGATAGTATAACAATGTAACAGAGTTAGTTTAGTATCAATATCCAGAACTGATGGATGAGCACTTTGTAGAATTAAATAATTGTGATTAATGACTTTGGTCGTTTAATATATACTGGATGAGATGGAAACTGAAATGACAGGTAGGAGGAAATGGAAATACAGGAGCAGAGAATGGAAGAGTGAGAAAAGGTAGGGATAGGAAACAATGTTCTTTCCTTAATACTTAGTTCTGGAAAACATGCCTTCCTTAAAAAAAGGAAGACAGTATTCAATCTTTTATACCAGTCATAGCAATTTAGTCAGAACCTTCTCAACACTACATGGAAGCAATCACCTTTTACTGGTTATGCCATAGGCTACTTTAAAGATTTTAATTATTTTTGTGTAGAACCGGTGGGGGTGGGGGAGAAGATTCACTAGAAACAGAGTGGGGAGCAGGACAGGTGGATCTGCTGAAATACACTGCTAAGGGGAGCAGCAAGTGAGACAGGAGAGGTCTGCTGCACCGTGTGGGTCAACTCCCTTGCCAGGGGTAAAATTCAGAACAACACAGTGGTAGTGCTGAGACTTAACCCTGAGGCCACCAGGAAGGAGACTTTAAAACCTATTTGCCACCCCTGCTATTAGCACAAATTCCCAAAAATAATAGAGTATTTCCTAAATTTTAATTATATCTATTAACAGCCTAAAAAGCTGAAACCTAAAGACATTTCTCTGGTTATCCGCTTATCTTACCATGCTCTTCCTTGCTTCAGCAAATGCTTTCTTTTCTTCTTCTATTCTTCTTCTGGCTTCTTCTTCTGCTTTTCTTTTTTCATCTTCTCTTCTTTGTCTTTCCATTTCTTCAAAACTGAGCTTGAGTTTGCCTGGGCGGTATGCTTTAAAAAGTTTTTCTGTATCTTGATTTTCCTCCTCTTCATTTACCTAACCAAAAAACAACTCATTACCAAGATCTGAGATTCATCAAAGACAAGAATGAGTGAACAAACAAATGACACAGAATTATCCATCTTAGATGGGAATGTTTCTATGCTTTTAATATAATAGACAAAAATCCTGTTCCTTTATAATGTCTTATGTGATAAAATATTCCAATTTGGAGCAATTCCCAATAAAGATACACTCAAAACTTCTCAACTGAAATTTTTCAATAGATAAGATGCAGTATGGTCATTTAAGAGTTTTATTAAAGTAACTCCCAGAACAAGCACAAGGCATGTGTGTCTACTTAAGCTGAGACTCAAGTGTTCTTACAAAGTCATTGGTAGTAAAATAAAATTCTCATCTTGAACAAATGGTGGTTAACAGAGGAAAAGGGATTTGTTGCAGGTGGGTATATTGTGTAAAAGGTCAATTATATGGTAGTAAATGGAAACTAGACTTTTGCTGGTGATGATGATGTAGTATATACAGAGGTCGAAACAGAATACTGTATACCTAAAACCTGTATAATGTTATAAAGCAGCGTTAGCTCAAAAAATTAAAATTCTCGTTTTGTAATTTTGATAGTTTCCTTTTTTACTACTATTGTGCTTTTCTTTATAGTAATCAGATAAAAGATTGTTATCTGGCACTATTTTATATAAACTTCAAATTTATTTAAATCATAATTAACATGAATAAAATTTAAATAGTCATCAAAATTTATCATTTGGTTAATTTAATTAATGATAGTTCTATTTCTTTTTACTGAATTGACTGTTAGAGACCTAAAATGTACAGGCAGTTATAGCCCAAAGTAATAACATTTTCAAGCAACTGTCCAGGAAATTAAAATTTTGAAACTAGGCCCTCCCTGGTACGCAGTGGGTTAAAGCACAGCACTGAGAAGCTAAAGCCACTTCCTCATGAGGTAATCACATGGCGGCAGACCTCTCCTGACCCGCCTGCTGCTCCCCTCAGCAGTGTACTTCGTAGATCTGCCTGTTCTGCTCCCCACTCTGTCTCTGGTGAAGCCTCTCGCCGCCCCTGAGCCTCTGGCCTGTACCCCAATTCTGTATGAACAAATAAATCTTTAAAAAAAATTTTTTTTGAAACTATAGTTCTAAGACTATACTTTGTAAGCTTAGTCCTATAGAATTAAATGTATACTTTTGATTAGACTTAAAGTATGATTATATATCTCACAGGGGAGAGAAACAAGATTCACTTAATAGTTTGGATATTTAAAGCAACTTATAAAAATAAAAAATTAAAGCAGAATATATAAATACTTCCAAATCAGATCCTTTTATATAGAAACTCTTTTTGAATTTATAGGAATAAAGTTTACCTAAAGCCAGTTGCTTTCCCTAGTATTACACATTTTATTCATAACACATTTATTATAATCATATCAATATATATTGTTATAATATATGAAATGAGTATAACATAACATTTGGTGGGATATAACATACATAACTGTATGTCATACACCACTATATACCATATGTAATATGATGTATAAGTAGTTCACTTTTTTTTTTTTTTTTTTTACCATTTGTCGCCTAGCTTCTTCAAAGGCACGCTTCTCTTCTTCTAAACGTTGTCTTGCTTCTTCTTCAGCTTGCTTTCTTCGGTTTTCTTGTCTCTGTCTTTCCAATTCTTCAAAAGTTAGTTTCAATTTTCCTGGAGAAAGGGACTCTTTTTTTGCCTCACTTTCCAGTTCATCATCCTAAGAAATTACGAAAAACAATTTGTTAAAAATTTAAGTGAAAGTGCTGCTAACCAATTCAACTGCTTTGATTTGTTCTTTAAAAAAACAATTTACCATGACTAATGAAAGACATTTTGCCTCCTTGAGTGATCTTCGTTCTTCTTCGTATCTTATTTTCTTTTCTTCTTCATACTTCATCCTTTCTTTCTCTTCTCTCTCTTTTTCTAGATCCTCAAAATTCTTTGTTTTTCCAGATGCTTTGTATGACTTGACAGGTACAACTGTTACAAGTAACGAATCATCTCCTTCCTAAATTATAAAATAGATAGTTAGTTTATTTCTTCCTACTCAAAATTTAAATTTCACAAGACTTTATTTTACCTCCATCATTGATGGAACTTCATTACATTGCCATCAATGTTATAAAAGATAAAAATGTACATTTTTTACAGGTCACTATTAGATATCTTCTCTGCATTCATTGTACATTATGAGTTAGTTTTTTAAAAAATCCATCACTGACAAAATCCAAGAACATCTTATTTCCTAGAATGTGACATTAATACAGCTGTTTGGATAAAACTGTGTAACATTTTCTGAAAGTACCTGCACTAATCCCACCAAAGGTGATGTGCATGTGAGTGTACCTTGAATCAATTTGATGGTAGATGGATTCATTTTAAACACACAAAATAGTTTTTCCAGTTGATATTTATCTCCATGCAAGTTTTAAATATGAATTAAAACTAACACTTAATGAAGAAAAACATAATATTTCCTAATAATCTAGAAACATTCATATTCTTGACAAAATTCTTGCATTTGACTTTATTAAGATATTCTTAAACTTGTTATTTTTTAGATTCATTAGAATTCAAGTACACCATCTAACTTTACCTCTGAGCCATATTCAAAAATGAAGTTATAATATATAACCATGCTCCTAATATAAAATTCCTTCCAAATCAAATGGCTGTACTTTTAGGCATACCATCAAATTGATTGATTTTTAACTTTCTCTGTTAGCTAGGAAGGGCTAACTGAAGTTTTTGTGGTTGTCCAACATTCCTTCATGGTAATGGACACTGCACTCTCTACCAGACAAAATAACCAAAACAAACTATAGGAACTCTGAGTAAAGAAGACATGATGAATGTTAGCTTTCAATAACCTGCTGCTCAAGAAATACATAGTTTTGGCAAAATGTCTCAAAATGAGACTTATGTCTCTAATTTAATCATAAAGCAAAAACATACTTTCTTTTAAAAATGCTAAGAGCAAAAGTATGATCTTGCTTTGCAAAATATTTTTATGCTTTTTGTTGTTATGTTTATAATAAAAAGGTAAAATCTTTAATTTTTTCATGAAGATCATTTGTGAATCAGATAATTTTAGGTGAATGTTTCATTAAAGGAAATGCCATTTACCTCTGATGCTGATTCAGTGTCCGTATTGTTTATGTCCTCAATCTATTGAATGAGAATTTCATATCATTACATTACATTGGATTTTTACTTTTTGCCTTTAAACATACAACTGAAAATTAGTTTAGCTGATGAATTTATAATTTGGAAATATTTTATGTTGCTCCAAATTCATTTATTATATCATATCCTTTATTAAATGCAGAGTAAATCTTAGATTCAGTTTTGCCTTTTGTCATCTACCGCAATAGCTAGGGAACAACATGTGAAGAAAAAATTAAAATTAAACCAACCTTTGTAAATCTGAAATTTGAATAATGGACAAAACTCATTACCTAGCTGTGAGCTTACAAAAAATTATTAATTAGTGATTTAAACTGAGATACAAAAACATTTCTCTATTCTTTGAATCTGCTCCAGCAAAAGGAAAATCTATCATTACAAGCAAATAATCAACATGGCTATAATTTACAATATAAATATATGGCAAAAATATAACTGACAATAACAAAGTGCAGTGAGAGGTACAGGCTAACAGATGGCTAGTTAAGAGAGGAAAACATTTCTGTAGTCATAATTGTTTGCATTTTTCTCAGCTCTAAGTAGGAAAGATCATTTCAAAAGAGGGACCTCAATTTGGCCATTGTTCATAAGAAACATCAGGTTTCTTTGAGGAGCAGAGTGATAATGTATTTAATAAACCAAGAAGATATACCTTTTAAGTGATGTAATGTTTGAGATATTAGAAAAAGGAAACATAAGCAATGGAAAAATGGGAACCATTAAAATAAAATTTCAGATTGATTACTGTTTTCATTGATTTTTAACACCAGTTGAAAAGTCTGGAAGTGGTTTGTTTCAAATTCAGTGTAAGAATTTTATTGTAGTGACGTTTATGGTTGGATCTCTCATTAACGCACTTGTTTTTATTCTCTATCAAAGAAGCAATAATTCATTTTATTAAATAATATAAAAAAATTTCTTAAAAATAAATTATTCTGAACAAATACTTTATAAAACTATATATTTTACACAGTTATTATTAATAGTTTTTTTCAGAATAATTTGCTTTGTTATAGAATTATTATTTTTTTAAAAGATTTATTTATGCATACAGAATTGGGGTACAGGCCAGAGGTGCAGGGGCAGTGAGAGGATTCCCCGGAAACCGAGTGGGGAGCAGAACAGGCAGATCCACTAAGTACAATGCTGAGGAGAACGGCGGGAGAGACAGAAGAAGTCTGATGTGCCATGTGGGTCACCTCCCTGGCCAGGAACAAACGCGCTGAAATGGTTGCAGCTAGCTTCGTAGTGCTGCGCTTTAACCTGTTGCACCACCAGGGAGAGCCCTGTTACAGAATTATTATTCTGACTTACTATGTCAGTGGTGAAGATTTTACTGCAAGATTACTAAGACAATTTTGAATAAATATAATTACAAAATTATTTCCCTTCAAATGAATGCTGACAATTCCTCTATATATCATGTTAATCTGAAATGAAAAGTTCTAGACAATATGGTCAGAAGAAAGAAAAGACATTAGAGAATAGGGAAAAGTAACTCTAAATATCTTACCCTCAAATTTCCCATTTTTGCTGCTACACCTCCTCAACTTTTTTATTAGCTTATGATAATGAACTATATTTTGAGGGTTTATTTTTTAATTACTTCCTTGCTCATTTTAAACCATTACCTAGGCAAGAAAAGCTAGAATAATATTTTTTCACTGGATTTCAACAAATAAGAAAAATATTAATTTGTCTAAGTAGTCATGGTATCCATACATTCAAATATATAATGAGATATTAATTTCATTATAAATGTTAACTTTCAAAATCTGCTATTGAAGAACAATTTCTCAATATTTAATTTCTGGAAAGAAAGCTATTTTCATTCCTTCTCAAATCAACTTCCTTTTCTCTCCTTTCTTCTCAACATCTCAGTCCCTTACCAATAACTTCTCTTTTTCTAAGTTGATACCTAATGTTGCTCATCTGAGTATCCTTAAAGATAACCAGGTTATACCAAAATAAAAAATTTCCCTTAAGCTTTACTGGTTTTTGATTCAAACATCTAACATGCAAAGTATACCTACTTTTAATTCATCATTATACCTAGAATCTGCTAATTATCTCAGGTCACTCATTCAATCATCTTCTTGACTAAGGAATCCCTTCTAAAGCATTCCTTAGTATGGAGTTGTACAAGTGAATTTTTCAAACAAACATAAGACTTTTCTTGATTACCTAGGTCATATATTACTTCTGGTATTCAAAGATACGGATTTATTAGATTCAAGTGAAAATGTATTTAATTAGGCATTAAAATTAGGATTTATGTGCAAGATGAAATTACTACTAATAGCTTATTTTACTCCATCAACACATTCTTATATACTGTAAAAGGCCAAACATTTTATTAATGCGACTAATATGGTGTCCTACCCTATAGTATCTAGGTAGTAAAGAAGTGGGTCCTTTTCATGATTATACCTTATTTCCATCTCTCTCTGAGTATCTTATCTCTGCATTATATTCAGATTCACCTGTTCAACACAAATTTTTCTTTGAGAAACCACTGGCCACCTATTGAATTCCAAGAGTTACAGTGATCTTAAAGTGTAGTGACTAATCCATCAGTGCTTTATGAGGAAGGATCCAAGACTTAAAAGTAGATTAACTCTCTTTGCATTACTGATTATATATTTATTGCCAAACACTATACTTAATTTGTATTATAAATGCAATTATAATAAAAACTGCACAAGTCAGTTTTCATAATTTACAATATTGGCCTGTTTTAATTATAGTCCTTTATATCATTGCAAAATGAATATTAACCTTTGATAACTGAAGATGGTAGATAAGGAATATAACATCCTTTCTTCAGATTAAATAGCAAAATAATGTAGGAAATTCCAATTCCCTTCTACAATTCATCTCACATATGTCATTATTTCCTAACACACAGGTGGCTATTAGCGCAATAGAAATGGTAATATGTATAGTTTGGTTAAATAAATTTCTTTGACTTGCAAGTATGGACTCTGTTTCCCATCTTTTCACTTTTTTTAGAAAGATAGTGGAAACTGAATGAATCATAGCAAACATTTAAAGCACATAAGAAGTAGGTAAAAAAAAGTTAAATATAATCTCATAGTACAAAAAGTTGTTAAAGGGATAATAGACACCGAAAACTATGTTAGGATATTTGGTAAAATATTGATGAGAGAAGGAGGAGAAACTAAAGTGATTTCATGACCACTTATCTATGTGAACTATTAAGTATTTAGAGTCCATTTATTTAGTATCAGGTACTATTCTAACTGCTTTGCATTTATTAACTCATACTCTTATAAACAGCAGTAGAAAACAAATGCTATTATTATCATCTCACAAGCTCAGTACTTTTTTCCTCTTTTGATCTTACTGTAGACCAGGTTGCAAGAAAGACTGGGTAGAAGTTATATGAAATACACAATAACTACTCTGTCATCTCCATCTTTATGATTACAGATGACATATAACGTAAAAGAAATTTCAACACATTAAAGAAATTTTTCTGAACTGATCAGTTCTAATAAGATGTAATTATAATTTAGTATTTCAGGTTATAGTCATTAATCCTCTTGAGAAATTAGCTTTTTCTGGACATTAGATTTGATTCTTAAATATTTAATACTTACCATCTTCTTCATTCTCATGCTCTCAGTTAAATATATGGGAACTCTAAGTTCATTAGGAGACTACACAAAATCATAGTAATAATGTTTATCTCTCTTCTAATTTGTCCTCTATGACAATGGAAATCAGTAATGGCTATAAGAAAGAAATGGTTAACACACATTTCTCTCTCTCTTATTATCAATCTCTAACTTTAAAAAAGTTAATAAACTAGTCAATACTATTATTTTTTAAAATGTATTGACTTGTTTCAAATTATTGAGTAGGAAGATATCCCAGTTATGCCTAAGTATTTGGTAATAATAGACAAGTATTCAAGTATTCACTGATTGCTATTGTTAGATGCTTGCCAACAGATTATGTGTGAGATTGCCTGATAGCTTTGTAAATTTTCTAACATGTCTAGAACATTAAGGCATGTGAACTGTGTAGAGATGTGGACAGAATGACAAAATGGTAAATAACAAAAGTCATCTCATTATTCAATGATAAAATATGTGCATTCTGCCTTTATTCTTCAAGACATTTGATAATAAATGTGTGCTTAATTTTTTATTTTCATGTTAGCAGCTCTTTAATATCATATGTTTTATTGAAATATTTTAACTAGGCAGCATACTCCTTTTATCCTGTACAGCTGGTTTCTGAAGCATATACTAGCTTAATATGTAGTATATACCTGCTGAGCTTTTTTTGCTAATTCACGTTGTATCTTCCTCTTTTCTAACATATCCTGCTCAATTCTGCGTTTTCGTTCTTCCTCCGTTCTCTTCCTTTGTTCCTCTTGTCTTTGTTTCTCCATTTCAGCAAATCTACCTTTAACAGTTCCTAAGAACATATGAAACACATTTGATATTTTGCTATGTTTCCTTTTTTGCAATTTCATTTCTAATTCACCCCTCAAGTTTCTTACCTGTAAGCTTTGGAACATAGGCCTTTTCTACTTTGGAAGATGCCTCTTCTTCTTCATCAGAAGCAAGCATTTCTTTAATCTAAATGGTTAAATAAATTAATATGAACAAGTCCAAATTGTACACTAAATCAAATGTAGAATTTGAAACTATTTTGATAATATAGAAAATTATTTTAATTTAGTTAATATGAAACGTAGTTAATGTAAGTAATGAAAATGTAAATTAAAGGATAAAAATGAATATTTACACACAAATAAAATAAAATAAGATAACCTCCTGCTTTCTCCTGTTCCATTCTCTCTCTCTAATATATTGTTCTTTTCTTCTTTGCTTTTCATCTCTAGATCTCCTTTGATTTCTTTCTTCCCTGGCTTTCTGCATGGCTTCAAACTTATCCTTTACATCACCCTTGCCAAGCTTTGGCACATAGGTTTTTGGGACAGGTTTAGATGAAGAAAGCAGAATCTTCGTTAGAAGAAAATAAAGAGAAGAATGTTAAAAAAAATAAATAAGCTAGAAAGAAACTAGATAATGACAGATCAGAATAAGCAATATCAGAAATACCTATGGAAACAGAAAATAGAAATGAATTGCAAACTTATTTGCACCATCAATATTTGATAACTTCCTACAGCCTTCAATATGAAAAATTACAGGAAAATATGAGTAAATGTTATTAATATACAAGAGAACTTCCATTCACACAAAACTGAAGACTAGTGTAAATAACAATAGAATGATAGATTCTAATTTAAAGCAACCTGTTTTTCATTTTCCTAACCCATTATTAAAGATTCAGGTACTATCTCTCTTGCCTATATGATCCCAAACAATATTTCAATAAATTAGATTTCAATAAATTAGATAAAGTTGAAAACTAAGCCTAATTCATATAGGTTCTTGTTTATTTCTAATTTTAATCCGAGCAAGGCTGAAGTTTAATCCTGTTCCGTTTGAGGCTCAGGTGAGCCCAGTTTCTTGAGTACAAGCAGTGATTCATAATTACTATAGTTATACTGCCCACGTGGAATTTCCTTGAATCAACATTAAAATTACTGCCTATCTGGAACTTTAAGTCAATATTAAAATATGTAAGAAGGCTCTATTATTCCAAGCAAGATGACCTTTAAGAAGAAAATTCCCAAATGGCAATGAAAGATCAATCTAGCCAAAAATGGGGGAAAATTTCCTCTACTCTAAAACTAGGAAAGCAAATTATTTTCATCTACTTGAAATTAAGCTTATCGCTAAAGGATGTTTCAGTAAACAGAACTTCAATGTCTCAGAATATCAAACATTTTCTCCTAGTGATGATAGCAACTATTTATCACTAGGGAAGATATTGTTGTGATCCTTGCTTATTTAACCTGTGGCACACCAGTTTCTGTTTTACTATTTATAATGGTGTTATGGGTCATTTAAGATCTTTTTTTTTTTTTTTTCCGTACAGAACTGGGGTACATGCCAGAGATGCAGAGGGTGAGAGGATTCACCAGAGACAGAGTGGGGAGCAGAACAGGCAGATCAACGAAGTACGCTGCTGAGGGGAGCAGTGGGCGGGTCAGGAGAGGTCTGCCGCGCTATGTGGTCACCTCCGGGGCAGGTGGGGATCGAACTCATGCGCGGAAGTGGTTTAAACTTCTTTGTGCTGTGCTTTAACCTGCTGCGCCACCAGGGAGGGCCTAAGATCTTCTTAAGTTTATAATTTGGAGCTCTTCTTACAGCTCTTAGTAACTATAGCCAAAAACCAGGGAAAAGGCTGTAAGAAATTTTACTGCAGTTGCTGGAAGAACCTGAGAGTGAATCATTGCTTTATCCCAGTAGAATACATCAAACCTACTTTTCTAATACTGAAAAAGTAACTTCTATAACTCATCAAGATATTAAATTCTATTAAAAATGCTAGCAATCACTTCCATTTCATCATCATTCACAAATAATCTTGCTTCTTAGATGAAAATCCAAATGAAAGTACTAAGCCCAAGACTAGCCAGTGAAATTTCCCTCTTCCTATGTTTTATTATGAACTATGGACTTCTGTATATGATCTTTCCATTAAAGAATTGAGTTTTCAGAAATTCTACATTTCCCCATTTAAAAAAAGAGAGAGAGACTTACCTCTGCTTTTTGGGAAATATCATTCATGTTTGCTCAATCTGGGCCTCAGGTGATTATGAATCTTTGTATATTTTTGCACCTGAAAATATATTTTAATATTGAATAAGACTTGTTTTATGGACATGGAGGAATTTTTTTAAAAGATTTTATTTATTTATGCATATAAGCACTGGGGTACAGGTCAGAAGTGCAGGGGTTGGGGATGAGAGGATTCACTAGAGGGAGAGTGGGGAACAGAACAGGCAAACTGACTTGAAGTATACTGCTGAGGGGAGCAGTAGGTGAGACAGGAGAGGTCTGCTGTGCCATGTGGGTCACCTCCTGGCCTGGGACTGAACTCATGCTGCAGTAGCTGTGGACAACTTCAGGTGCTGCTCTTTTTTTTATTGAGATCAACGAATTGCAAATGCTCTTGATGTAATCTTGAAATAATGTAGGAATGATATTTTTATGTTGCCTTCATATATTATGGCTTGTTTACAATGTTTATTAAAGTCTTTTTGCTCCTAATTTAGCAGGTATATAATCACTATATATGGAAAACTAAAAAGAGAATCCAATGTCACTACCATCCTCAAAAAAATCAAATTCTTGTGGCCTCCCTGGTGTCACAAGGGGTTAAAGAACAGCACTATGAAGTTGTCTGCAGCTACTGCACACAAGTTTGACCCCAGCTAGAGAGGGACCCACATAATGTGGCAGACCTCTCCTGTCTCTTCCACTGCTCCCCTAAGCTGTGCATTTCTGTCAATCTGCTTGTCTTGTTCCCCATTCTGTCTCTGGTGAATCTTCTGTCCCACCCTCATCTCTGGCCTCTACCCCAGTTATTGTATGCATAAATAACTCCTTTAAAATATTTTAAAAATTTATTTATATATATATGTATATATACTTTACATCATTGTTCATTTCTTTTTAAAGATTTATTCATGCATACAGAGGTGCAGGGATAGTGAGAGGATTCACCAGACACAGAGTGGGGAGCAGAACAGGCAGATGGATGAAGTACACTGCTGAGGAGAGCAGCGGGCAGGTCAGGAGAGGTCTGCCACGCCATGTGGGTCAGCTCCAGGGCAGGGATGGAACTCATGCTGCAGTGGCTTTAGCTTCTTAGTGCTGTGCTTTAACCTGCTATGCCACCAGGGAGGGCCCCATTGTTTATTTTTAAACAATGTTTGCTTTCTTTTCTCAGGTGTAGTCCCTATAGAATTTCCACCACCAGTTTACCTATGGACCATCATCACAATTTCCTGTGCTCTTCCCTCCCTCCTTTCATTCCCTCTCCCTTGCAGAATGTTTCTGTTTTATAGTTGTCTATTTTTGTTTTGTTGTGTTATATTTTTTATTGTTCTAATTTTTTTTCCCTGATGCCTTATTTGATTCACTTATATTCCTTTTATATGTGAAGCCATTCAATATTTTTCATTTTACCTTCTGATTTATTTCACTGAAAACTCCTTCTAGCTTCATCCATTTTGCTGTGAATGGTTGCTGAATAGTATTCCATTGTATCTATATACCACATCTTTTTGATCCGGTCTAGTTTGGGGTTTTTGGGTTGTTTCCAGGTTTTGTTTTGTTTTGTTTTTTGTAATAGTTTTTTTTTATACATCATTTTGTGCCTTTTTCCATCTCAGCTGCAATCCCCGTGGACTTCCCATCACCAATTCACCGTGTGCCATCATCATAGTTCTGTGCACATCCCCGGTTTCCAGGTTTTAACTATTATAAGTAGTGTTCCAATAAACACAGGGGTACAGGTATCCTTTGAATCAATACTTTCATGTCCTTTGGGTAGATTCCTAGGAGTGGAACTGCTGGGTCATATGATATCTCCATTTTTAGTAGTCTGAGGAACCTCCACACTGTGTTCCATAGTGGTTGTACCAATTTGCATTCCCAGCAGCAGTACAGGAGAGTTCCTTTTTCACCACATCCTCGCCAACATTTGTTGTTGCTAGTTTTTTTAATATGTGCCATTCTCACTAGTGTGAGATGGCATCTCATTGTGGTTTTGATTTGTATTTCCCTGACTATAAGTGATGTTGAACATTTTTTCATATGTCTTTTGGCCATTTGCATTTCCTTTTTGGGAAGTGTCTTTTAAGTTCTTCCCATTTTTTATGCTATTGTTTACTTTGTTTTTGTTCAGTCATGTGAGTTCTTTGTATGTCTTTGTGATCAGTCCCTTATCAGTTGTATGGAATGCAAAAATTTTGTTCCTAATCTGTAGGATGTCTCTTTCTATTGGTTAATCTCTTTTGCTGTATAGAACCAAAAAAGAACTAAATTCTTGAGACTTTTTAGATATCTTAAAATTCTGTATCTGACCTTCACTCAACCAAAAATTTAATAGGGCAAATGGTGAAGAATTTTATTTATTTAAAGATTTATTTATTTATGCATACAACTTCTAGAGTACAAGCCAGAGATGCAACAGGTGAAAGGATTCGCCAAAGACAGAGCAGAGAACAGGTCAGGAACATGTACCAAAACACACTGCTGAAGCGAGCAGTGGGTGAGACAGGAGAGGTCTGCTATGCCATGTGGGTCACCTCCCTGACCGAGAATAGAACCCATGCTGCAGTAGCTGCAGATAGCTTCAGACTGCTGCGCTTTAACCCACTGAGCCACCAGGGAGGCCAAAACACTGCTGACTTTTAATAAGAGGAGGGACATTTAAAAAAAATCAAAGAGCCTCATTGCTGTGTGGCTTAGTGGTAACACGAAAGGACAGTGAAGTGGGTGGGGACTTCTTTAAACAAAGCTAAGGGCGTGTCTGGGTTATGTTCTCTGTATGTTCAGAGCAGGAAGCCTTCTCAAATTACATATAGTGAGCGTGGTCAAGATGGCGAGGATCTAAAAACCAGATATTTGGTGCTGGAGCCAGAGACTAGAATTAAGACATGCATGCCAGTAGTCCTTAAGAGATGTAGTCTGTGGTGGGAAGCCCACAGGGATTACAACTCAGATGGGAAAAGACATAAACTGATGTAAAAATAAACTATTCTATTATTTAAAAAAAAAAAAAAAAAGATGTAGTCTGAAGGAGCCAGCAAGCACAGGGCAGGTTCTCTATCAGCCTAGGTATAAAGGGATAAAGGAGCATCCTGGCGCCCTCAGTGACTTTTTCAGGCCTTAGTGCTCTTTCTACACCACTTGTGGGGCAAGCCCAGAGGCTCTAGGCAGGGCAGCCGGCATCCCACCCCCAGGCGAATCTTTACTATCTCTTTTGAGTTCTCCTGCATTCTCTTGAGGTCTCTTTCTCTGGTAGCTGTCCCTCCTAGCCATTCTGTCAGAGCCATCCTCCATCTGTGTGATGCTGCTCATATAGCCTCAGCCTCTGGGCTCAGGTATGCCTATTCATGCATGCCCACACCATACCACAGGCATTCCTGCTGGAGCCCACACTCCTAAGCGCCTCCTGCATTTAAAGTCACAGGTGACATCCACAAAGGCCAGCAGTGTGAACAGCCTGACCAATTAACTACCCTATGGTGAGGTGGATAATTGGAGACCAGCAGAAATTTTTGAGAATTAGTGTTAATGACTTGGGGACACTCTATGCGAAAGCCCTGCCACACATTATATTTGGAGCCATATCATTGAATACAAGGGCAGTTCCTGGACTTGCTAACTCCATGACTTTGGACAAATAAGTGTACCTATTAGGACTGTTGAATGTATTAAAACACATGTAGAATGAATATATGGTCAACATTCAGTGAAGTGCTCAATATTCTTTTTTGTTGTTCCACAGTATGAATAGACCACATTTTTTATTATCGTTTGATATTTTTTCCTTACATTGTTATTCATTTTTGTGCAATAAATGAATAAATCCATAAATATCCCACCAACTCATCACCCCATTAGCCATCATCACAGAGTCTGCGCACTTCCCTTTCATTTTGGTCCCTCCCTCCCTCCTCCTTCCCCCCTGCTAAATGTCTTTGATCTATAGTTTTGCTTGCAAATTTTCTCTCTTTTTTTTTAATCCTTCTTTTTAGTTCCCCTATATTCCTCCTATGGGTGAAACCATTCAATATTTTTCTTTTCCTTCTAACATTTCACTGGGCATAATCTCTTCTAGCTCCAACCATGTTGCCACAAAGGGCAGTAATTTATCATTTTTTGATTGCTGAAGAGTATTCCATCAGGTATATAAATATCCCACATCTTCTTGATCCATTCATCTGTGGAAAGTGCTCAATATTCTATGGCAGTATATATATTTGGGGTATGTGTACAAGAATCCTCTATGGTCTTCTCAAAATCCCTTAAGCCCACCATAGTCACTAGAAAAACTCAATACAATGGGATGCAAGTTATTTTCCATTGTGTAGATTCTTAGATCTGGTGCCACATTTTTGTGTCCCTTTGCAGCTTGCAGAATTTATTCCTCTGGATTTTATTTTCCTGATTAAATCTGAGTTAGCGTCTGAAATTTCTTTGCAAAATTCACTGACAGTAGTCTCTTTCGACCATTATATATGTCACACACAGTTGTCAGACAGCTGAATTTCTAGTGGAGGCAAATTTCTCACTCCGATGAAAGCAACTGAAAATGCCATACACAAAGCATCTGAAAGTGCCATACACAAATCTACCCATTGCTAATTTCCTCTCTTTAGGAGGACCAAGTTTGCCCTACTTTCAAGTCATTCCACACATGTCCAAAGCTCAGCAAGGGTACTCCAGCCAGAACAGACCACAGGGAAAGGACTTGAATGAGATTGTTTAATGAGTTAATTTATAAAATATTGTATGTATTTTTGTTAACAGATGTAGCATATTAGTTGTCAAAAAAAAAAAAAAAAAAAAAGAAAAGGACAGAGACCTCCCTGGTGGTGCAAGAGGTTAAAGCAAAGTACTCTAAAGCTATCTGTAGCCACTGCAACACAAGTTCGAACCCTGGCCAGGGAGGTGACCCACATGGTGCTCCGCAGAACTCTCCTTTCTCGCCCACCATTCCTTTCCGCAGTGTATTACAGTAAATCTGCCTGTTCTGCTCCCACTCTGATTCTGGTGAATCCTTTCACCCCCAACACCTCTGGCCTGTGCCCCAGTTCTTGTATG